CAGAGAAAGAGCCCTTCTTGTTCCGCAGTATGTTGCGGATGAGGAAATAAAGAAGGCTCGGTACCATGAGATACTAAGTAGCGACATTAGACAGCTCATGAGCCGGTCCAGCTGCAAGATGCTAGAGGATATGATCGCTCGATACAAGGAGAGTGAGCTTCACTTAGAGGCAAATAGGAAGAGGAACCAGACGAGGTGTAGACATCTACGGGATCGGGCAAGAGGCCCAAAACATCAGATTCTAAATCGAGAGGTTATCAGGACCGTAGCCGCTATGGCAAGTGTGGAAGGACAAACGAAGGTGCGTGTAGGAGCGGTAGTGGTGGTAATTCTGGTTGCTTCAAGTGTGGTCGGATCGGTCATTTTAGTAGGGATTGTACCGCTACCACCACACAGGGATCAGACTTGATTTGCTTCCATTGCAGTCTGTGGGGCCACAAGAAGGCCCAATTTCCGAGTTTTCTTGCAGCTGTACTGGTGATAGCACCTGCCCCTGCAACATTGAGGATCATAGATGGCTGTTAGGGCCAGAAAAAGGCGCCTGCGGCAAGGAGCAGGGCTTTCCAGTTGATTATAGAGGAGACACGAGCAACTTTCGATGTTGCAGGTGCGTATCTTTTGCTTTCCTATCAGTTTTTATTTATGATTTTATTGCTATTTTCTCGCATCCATATGAGTAGTTGTATCTTAGGATTATACTTCTTGTTTATGTTTGTATTATATGTCATATGCATCTCATGGTTCTTAGGGTACTAGTTTGGGGACGTCTCCGTATAAGATGGGTTTTCAGGATGTAGTAGTTGTAGCAAGTGTGATTGGTTAGTTTTTGGAACACTAACAGTGGTAAGCGTTGGTTGCCAGCATGATTGATCACTGGATGATACAAAGGATTGAGGATCTTTCCAGTCGGTTGTGCGGTCAGATGTTAGTTGAACCAAAGTGGGGGGGGAGAGTTTTCCAAGGGTTCAGGAACCAAAGAAAGTGTGGATTCAGAGTGGGTTAGCATTCTCGTTAGGAAGGAAGACATCCCAAGTGGCTAACTGGTTTAGGAACATATGGGTTGGAAGTTGGGAAACTTCCCTATATAGGATTCGCGTCTTTTGATGTTCGATAGTTGGCTTTGGGAAATTAGGTTGAGGAAATTTCCATCAAAACGCAATTTCAGTCAGGATGTTAGGTCGTGTGCATGACCAGCGTGGAAAGTGTTGTAAGACTGTGGGATAGATTTAGCATTCACTAGCAGCCAGACAGCGTATGAAATGTTGCAAGACTGCAGGATAGCCGCGACATTCATTAGCGGCTAGTTAGCGGAGTGTGGGTGGGGGCCTGTATCTCCTAGTCAGCGGAGTG